GATGCGTTCACTCCCCATTCAAGTAACTTACAGAGATATTGCATTAATGCTATTTCTATTTGAAGATATTTTGAAATTTCTGTATTTGGAGAGACAAATAACGTATGTCGTCTGCAAAGTGATGGTGGTTACCAGAAGCAATTGTGTCGTGCTTTGGAAGATGCATCGGCGTTGGTTTTGTGTGCATGTTTCTTGTATTTGCTTTAGGTGAACCGTGACCAATCTTTCGTGAGATTTCATGCATTGTACTAATGAAAGGAAAAGGAAACTTATCAGCAAATATCAGCAAACTAAAGCAATCTTCGAAAGGAGAAAATATAACCTTGAAAGACTTTGTTGAAAGCAAACTTATCATTGATCTTATAATTGAAAATATTGCACCCTAATAAATTGGCTTTGTCAAAAATTTGAAGAGGCTAGTAAGCATTGCCAGAAACAAAACTGCAATTGAGATGGTCCAGCTCTTATCTCTTTATTTCCACATAAATGTCAGCAAAAGAGCTCCTATGGGGATTCCTTGCATTTTTCAGCAATCAATATCCTTAACGCGGTGTGTATCAATTCCTTGTAAGCTTCTGGATTATTTGAGTGGTCATCAATCTCTGCCTGAAAACAGGAAATGAAATTCAGCACCATAAGTTGCATCCTGAAGGTAAAGTATTCAGAGTCTACGTAAATTCCAGAGTAGGTTTTTCTTTGGTGCAGTGTGCAGCTGATTGAGTCTAAACCATCTTTTTCATTAGCTTCTGGCTATTGTCTATTATCTCTTATTCTAGGCTCAAGGAATTCAATGTCAAAAACTCTTTTCAGGAAACCTTAAAGCATTGCTGGAGTTTCTTTAATGAGTTAACTTCAAGATCATCGTTCAAACAGCTCATTTGAACATACCTTGCGAGCTGCTTTTATAGCAACCAAAAGCTTTTCTCCAATTAGCTCATACATGACTGTCTTTTTAAGAACTTTCAAAGACTCAGAAAGTGATCGAGGCGATCTTGGAACATTTTCAAGCGTAGAAGGGTCTAAAGCTGTGCCAAAACTTACAAAACAATATCAAGATGTTAGCATACAACTTAATTTTAAGAGCCGGGAAAACAATGAATGAAACTCTGACCTGCTAACCAAAAGGAGAATAAAATACCCAGAACACAACATGCTAGAGGCAAGATTGAGATTTTATTAAAGATGAAGTAATGTTACCAACAGGTTCAGGAAGAGGAAGATGCTTTCTAAGACCATCATGCCAGCGGAAATTATAGCAGCCAGAGCCAAGTATGGATTTGCGCACCCGTCAAAACACTTACGTTCAAAGTCGCTCACGAGATCACGCTCAATTCCAGGTAGGCAAGTTATACCAAGCTTCCTTGTTTTCTCTACCCCAGCAAACATGTGGGGGGAATAGTCGATCATAACTAAAGAGAATAAGAGTTAGCTGGCCAGGGATGCAGTAAAGAGAATTTATATAAAGTAAATTTTCAGAAGGGATGCATAGCTGCACACACCATCTAAGATGAAATTTCTAACGACAATCACTAACACTCATCTATTTAATGCAGCGAAGTTCTTATAAAATATTATTCAAATAAAGGTCTGAAACTGCATTCCCAGTAAATAAACTTCTACGCAAAATTCTTGAGTTAGGCAACACTTTAGACAGGACTACAAGGCACAAATGCCAGCAAACAATTTCTCATAATAGTGCTTTTTCCGTAAAGAAAATGTGAAAAACAGAAAAAGTAAATATTAGCAAGAACTGGAAAATGATAGGAAAGTACCGCAACCTGTATGGAATCGGTGCCGTGAAGCCAAAATTGAAGGAAGATGATGCGGAAACCCTGCCATAAAAATCCTCCCCGATATTTGACATTCCATAGCGGGATGATCCATCAGATGCCATGAAAACATTGTGTCCATTTTGGCATAAGCTGACATGTTCATGGGAACCAGGACCAATGTCGTCCACCGCAAGCCTAGGCAAAAAGCAGGATACGCCAAGATCATGGCTATCATCAAAAGAACGTCCAGCCCAGTCAGGGTGAGGAGTGGTGAGTGTGCCGTGTCTTCTATTAATTAGCTGCTGGTCGGCTCCAAGGACCAGGCTGCGTTTTTCAAGCTTTATTATTGATAAAAAGGCACAACCAAATCCATTTACTTATGCAAAATTAGTTGTCGAGTGTGCACAAATTCCTTGACTAGTGTTGACAACTCTATCCAACCTCTAAACCAAATAGTTTTTTTTGGTTCTCTAACACATGGTAATCAGTTTCAGATGTGAAAAAATTGGAGGCCGTCACATAACATGGTGGTAATGGGTAATCAAACAAACAATAATAATAATAATAATAATTAAAAAAAAAAACTTACAGTTTAGAAATGCCCTGTCTGCTCTGCTAAAGCTCTGGGACCGTGACCTCACAGCACCACCATGACACAACTTTTCATTTGTTTATGGCTTTCGAATTTGTACAGTACTGCCGGTGTAAACTTCAACTGTTTAACTAATGCAGACACCACCCTAGCAGTTAAGTAGCTCTCCCTCCCACTACTCTGTACATCGTGATACCAGTAACATAAATACAGAGAAAATAAAATCCCCAAACAAAAGCAATGATGGAGTTCGAATATCATATAGCATCGATTCCATTACACAACGTGATCGGTTTCCTTGCTTTCCTGTTCATCCACGGTATCACATAATTTTGCACCCGTTGTTTCTGGCAACAAACACAGCAGAACTCCAGAAATTATCATCACAATCCCGAACACTCCATATGGAAAAAACTTACCTTTTCTCCCTTCATATATCAACATATGACTGAACACCCAACCAAACATGTGGGATTGCCTTCATATGGAAAAAACTTGCCTTTTCTCCCTTCATATATCAACATAGGACTAAACACAGAACCAAACATGTGGGATTGCCTTTATAGTGATGTAGCCAAATTCCGAATTGTAGTAGGAAATAGCTCTACCGTGAATCCATATAAAAAATCACTGATGAGCAAGCGCAAAAGAACGCTAATAGCTCAAACCCAAACTTTACCCCTTCCCATTTACTTCCAGTTATAGCACAGATGCTGCAGCTTATTCCACTTATTAAGAATAACCGATAACGTGAGTATAGAACTTATCCTGTTCCATTTATCTACAGAGAATAAGAGGATAAAAGCTGGGGGCGCCTCAATTATGGCATTAAATGTAACACTCGGGTAGAGATTGAAACCCAAGTTGCCTAACCCCAACGGAATCCCGTAGGGCACCAAACCAAGGCTGCAGCCAAGTCCCATGATTATCAATATTCTTCTACAAGCCCACCCTTTCTCAAATAGCTTCTTCATTGATGTAAAATAATCATCCTCACCTTTTATTGTTTTAAAGAGATGTTGCCTGAGCTAATTATGTGCTCCAAGTAATCACAGCGGGTTGCGGATGAAAGTTTCTTCAGTACAGCCACTGCTTCTTCATTGCGTCCTTGAAGGAAAAGCCATCTGGAAGACTCGTAAGCAAAGAAAGAAAGAAACAAACTATAAATGAGTCCTGGAAGAGAAGTACATAAATAAATTCTTCTCCATGAAGAGTCCTTGGTAATGTAAGCAATGGCCGGTAAGGACAGAAATCCTAGAGCAAAACACAAGAATGCAACAAAACTAACCCGGCCTCGACAACGTTTTTCCAACTGTCTTCATTAGTAACACAATTATACATGTTCTAATTGATGCACGACCAAATCCGCTAAAGAATCTCAAGGCTGAGTACATCCAGATGTTGGTGGAGAAGGCAGCCAGAGACATGTGTTGGAGGTTGAGGTGCATGCAGTGCTATTGCTGGTACAATGCAATGTTGGGAAAGCATCAGTGAAGACACTGATAAAGACTTGTTGTGCATCAAACATGTAAGCTAATGACACGATGACTGTTTGAAAAAATTGGGCACACCCAAATAAATCCACCTATGCTGTTTTCTATAATGTCATTGACTTGGAGATCAGAATTGTGATTATTAGTTTCATGCTGAGGCGGGGAAGAGTCTGGTTTTGGAGTTGAATCTGCCATGTTGCATGTGGTCTTAATTTGAGGCTGTGAATTGAGAGCTCGAGGAGACTCTGTGACAGCACTGCATGCAATCTGGTATATTGACAATTTTCTTGACAGGTTTCGTAACATAAAATTTACAATATTTCGTTGAAAGATGCTCTTCTTCAACTTTTAACTTCAAAATCCATGCCTCTCCCTCTGTTCAAACTTCGACCTGACAAAACAGAGGGCCATAGTTTATTTATTTATTTTTTCGAAGAAAGAAAAGGAGTTCTTCTGCTTTGCTGCTTCTTTGAAATTTTAAAACTAGAGGCTTCTAGTTTTAATACCTTAAAAATAAGACATGCACCTCTATGACATGTGTTTAGAAAAAGTAAATTTATCCGATCATGCCCAATTAATATGAAAAAAAAATAATTACAATATTACATTATGAAAAATTAAAAAGATATATTGAAAATCTATCTAAATACAAAGGAGATGTTTATTTCTCTTTTTCAAAAAAAAAATTAAAAAAATTTAATTTTTTAATTTATTTTAAATTAATATATTTTTAGTGAATTCAAATTATTTTTTTGATGTAATGATATCTAAAATAACTTTTAAAAAATAAAAAATAATTAATATATATTTTAATATAAAAAATTATCTAAAAAACAACCTATAAAAAAAACCTAACATAATTATTAAAGAAAAAAACTCAGAATTACGATGAAATCACTGCAGTCATGGGATCATTTTAAAAGTGTTACGGTTATTTTGTCATTTTCAAATAAAATGAACTAACTTGTGTCTGGTATTTTCCATTTAATCAAGATGGTTATTATAAAATGGATTTGGATAAATCGCGCTTCTTATATCATTTTTTTCCTTGTCACATTAAATTGTAAAATAAAGTAATTCTTTTGAGGATCACTTTTATGTACGGGAGAGGCAGAGAACGACGTCGGAGGACACTCACGGGTAATCAAACTTGTAGGCTTTAATTTAACGGCAAATAAAATAATTAGACAAGCACCTAAAAAAATTAATTAGACGGTGTCGCTTTGGCACTCAAAGGCCGAAGGAATGGCTAGAAAGAAGCTCCTCCGTCGACAAAGAAACAAACAAGCACGGGGGAGCTCTCACCCGCGGTGAGAGCATGATGCACACGTTAGCAGCACCCCAGCTGAAGAATGAATGTAATGCTGCCTTGAAAGTTGAAATGTTCAGTCAAATCAAACTATTTTATTGGTTAAGTATTGTTGCTCTTTCATATTTATTTTTTTCCTTTCTTTGGAGCAGTATTTGTGTCGTTTTAATCCTCGAAATGTTCATTCTCGCAATTTCTCATCATCTTCATCGCCATCATGCAGTAAAAGATGTCTGCTCTCTCCCTCTCTTTCTCGGTTTTGTCATTGTTAATTACAAGTATTGAGTTAAACCCAGCTCATCATCTTCATCACCATCGTTCTTTGGGTATAAATCACGAGCTGCTAGTATTATGTTGACGTGAGTTGCGATCACGGAGCTTTTTTCTTCTCTGATCATAGCATTTGATGATGGATTCGTTTTTATCTGTAAATTTATTGTTGACAGATTGCACCTCTTCGGGATCAGATATTTTTAGGTCCCTTTTCTCCTAGGGTGTTGTACTTGTTTTTTTTTTTGCTGTGTTCGTGATTTTTAGAACTGATGACCCATAGTTACGTAAATGAACTATTGAATGTCAGGTTTCTTTTTTTTATTCATACGCAAATCACAGTGTAAGGTCTGCTGCTGCTGCTTCTTCTTGATTTCTAGTTGAACGAAGGATGAGAGTAGTGGAGATGGGTGGGGCTCAAACTGCTCAAGAGTTGTTCAACATGTAAGGAGCTGCTAAAGATGACCACACCAGGAAAGCGGATTTGAAAGCTCTGGCTGCCCTCTCACAGCCAGGTTAGATTTAAATGTTAGCATTCATCATTTTGTACTTTATATTCCTTTATTAATGGATTTTAGATGTGGATGAATAGGTCTTCTGTGTACTCTTGATTCAACGTCGTAGCTTGCCAATCGTAAACGCAACTAATTTTCGCTGTGATTCCAGTTCTCCTGGATAGGAGGATGTGCTGAATTCTTATTAATATCAAATCAGTGATGCTTTTCTCTAGCAATATAATACCTTGATTTACCAATCCATTATAGAAATGATGAACAAAAGCAGGCTGAGCACACAAATTGGAGTTTGTGTTTCCAATACAAGACATGTTTAGAACAATAAAGAACAATGCATGTCTAGATCCATTAGATTTTTCTAATTTCAACTCCTGGTGCTTAGGGTATATAGGTTCTTTAGGCGTGATGTGATGTGATGGGCTCGATTTACATATTTGAGTATTCAACCTATGACAACATCCATAAATGTTCATGACAATACAATTGCTGCCAAGAGTTGCTGGAACTTGATATTTCCGTTTTGAAACTGCAGATGAAGCTCTCAGAGCTTTACACCATGCAGGGGCAATCTCGGTGATTAAGTCTATCCCAGATTCCTCTGATGAAGTTGAAATTGAGACATGTAAGGCTAGCTTGCTGAAGAGATTCCAGGATCTGAGATATGATAGTTCGTCTTAAGTAATCGATTCAGGGCATGACCTTTACCAATGCAGGCTTGAAGTACAGTCAGGTCAAAAAGTCATCTGACATCTTGGAGAGATTAGGCTTCACAAGTAATGAAAATACAGTGCATATCTTTTGAATGTAATTTGAACCAAAATTTCCCCATCTATACTCGTGTTTTTAATGCTATGAATCGTAGGGGTTTGTATACCATGAGCTCGTGGAGTGGATATGTAATAGTTGTCCTGCGCAGTTATAATTGTGCTCGTAAGGCTGTGTTTACATTGAGTAGCTTAGTTTGTGACCCTGATGGTTTGCCAAGCAAGTAGTTAGCATTTAGCACACGTCCACCAATTTTTGTGTGTTGACTGTTCCATCATCATCTATGTGCTCGCCTGAAATTGATGTGTTCGTTGGTGCTGGAGTGGATGGATGGATGGATGTGGACTGCTGCTCAGTTGAGCCTTGATTCTATGGAGAGTTTATTGAAAATGGAAATAATGTTATGCTAACCTTGTTCTTTATCTATTAACCCTGTGTAGTTCTTGTTTCTTTGCAAGCTTACACAGCAAATTGTTTCTTGCAAACTACCTTTTTGTTGTATGAAATCTTTTCAATCTTTTTTATAATGGTGTGTGTGTGAATCTGATTCAAGAAAGTTCAATTTATCATCTTACCTACCCTTGGATTTTAGATCCTGGGTCAATGTTTTCTCAAATCCCATGCCAAGTGTTGTAATGAATCAAATGAAATAATCGCATAATTTTTTCAAAACTAACAGCAGATCATGTGCAAAGAAGTACATCAAAACCGGTTGACTGCTATCCTCGCCCCATGTTCAAGACTTTTCCTTTACAAGATCGGTTGCTATGCAACTTAAAATAGTTATTTGGCCTGGACATGAGCACTTTATAAATTCAAACAAATAGAATTAATTTCTATTTCCTGGATTTGAGCTCTTAATACCAGTTGAGATTCAAACATCTGTTTATCTATAAAATAATTAATAATTTTTTACCCAGATACCACGTTCCCCTGTTGGTTTAGCTCACGGTTGATTTTAAAAGCAAAAACTAACGTTTCGTGCTGGTATGATTGTACAGGTGAATCACAAATTCTCCATGGAGATGACTTCAGTGTGAAAGTTTATCCGGGAGTGGGCTATGCCTTCATCGTGGCATTGAATGAGGAAGACATGGTTTGATTGTCTCTTGTGAAGTCATTTCTTACCTGTACATCATCATATACATCTATAGTAAGTGGCCAAGTGGTCTGTTTAGTTTTTAATGCTTGTGATTCATGTTTGTTCGCTATATTCCTTGTTTATACGCAACACCACGGTGATTTAACTGTTGGATTTTAAGGACCCACTGCGAGTATGAAGAATACATAAAACAATACAAGCACCTCGACTAGAAAAACACCGGAAAGGGGGGCGGCTATTACTATTACGTGTTTCTAACCAAACTATAGATGTTTGTTGACAAGGCAATTGTGCTTGTTGCTACAGCTAGAATTATCATCACTGCTGCCGCAATCTTATCTCGTGTCGTTGATATACGGTAAACATCCCTGTAATTCATGAGAAGACAAAAGGAATTATATCGTGCAGGACTGTCAAATTTATACTGCAAAATATCAATTTCGGAAGGAAAGAGCAGTACCTTAACACAATAGCACCTGGGAAGATGAAGGCGAGACACACTGCTGAGGTTGATCCCATGAACTGAAAGAAGTACCATATATTTGGGATTGCAATTGCTGCCAGGTAAGCGAAAACTAGTAATGCAAGAGTGAGGGACAGAAATCGGATGGAATCTGTTGCTAAAAGAGGCTTCCTAGGGTAAAGAAGTTCATCAATGCTTGCCCTCAATGAGAAGTTCAAGAGGGGAAACGCCAGCATGAGATGAAAGGCATAGCTAAGTCTGACAGTGTCATTGAGTAATGCACCGATTGCTGTATCAGAACTCTGGTCAAAATTTACAAGTATGTCGGCCACGATTGATTCCCCAAACAAAAGATACCCAAAAATGCCAATGGTGAAGTAGATGCCAGCACAAAGCAAGAGGGAAATCTTGACTGCTGAAACCATATCAGAAGGTTTCCCGAGCTCGAAACTTATTGGATGAACTGCGCAAGTTCAACGAAGGAACTTGAGAGAAAGAATAAGCAAACAATGCCATGATATAGTCTTTCGACTATATTAATTAAGATACCAAAAGGCATTCTCACCATTAAAATGAAATGTGAAGGCTGTCACAATCACTGGAGCTGCAGTGAAAAGGTCGAAGAAGGAAGTCTTGTTATCTAGATGGGGCAGCAATCTCGGACTTTTGGTTTTTCCTTCAATGAGTGCATAGATTGCCATCACTGAACATATGCCAACAAAAACTACTGCGAGGAGGACTGATATAGCTGAACTGAACCTCAATGATTCTGGAAAAACAGGCCAACCAAAGTGAACAAGCGTTATCCACGACTTCTGCTGGTTATATTGCCAGTTTCTTTTTAAAGAAAAACTCTTCTTAAAAGTAAATTGAAAATTTCCTAGGAGAAATAGATAAGCATGCGGGTAGAAGCAAGAAACAACACGGACTCCACCGCAAGGAAGCTCAAAAGGGAGAGGGAAAAAAATCACTCAGGCAGCTAGCGTGGCAGATGATCTACCATCAAGAAAAGGGCATCCTAAAAATTTATCCAATGAAAAACAAATCAGATAGTAGAATCTTCACTTCTCTATCTTTTCAGAAAAGGAAAAAACATCTATTGCTTTGCTTTCATGTGTCCTTTTGTTTGTCCACTCCTGTCTGCCACGGTAAGCTCTGAAAGATTTTCCTGAGCATTAAATGATCAATATCTTCCTTGGATTCTCTATTCTATCCACCAACAATTTTCCAGCTCAACTTAATGCAATCCTGTTCTCTCATCAATCCTGTAATCATGAAAGAATTTAAGACAAAGGACCAAGGACCTTGTTTAGCGTCTTCTGCTTCCATTAACTGTCCATTACCTTTAACTGTGGATCTCCACCCAAAACATATTCATATCAGGAATTAGCCATCTTTGAGCCTCAGAAGGTATATCGCACCATCCTCCCCTTCTTCTCTACAGATTCAAGAAACAACAATTTCAATCCATTTTCTAGTGGGCACTTCTCTTGGAACCATCAGCCCACCATGTTTCTAAGCTTTCCAGTCACTCTCCTTAACTTCAGAGTCTGTACAAGATCCCTTTCCAGTCCTTTTGGGACGTTGAGCATTGTCACACTATTCTCATCATGATCCTCTAATAAACTAATTTTTCTCCAGATGTTCATTCATAATAATGGTGAAATTAAAACTTGTACAGCGTGGATTTAAGATAACTATGTCTGGAATATATCATCCATGCTCTATATGGCTTGGAACAAGAATGAATAAAAATTAAAAGAAAACTGAAAATTAAACTTACCTACACGCCTGAACAAAACCAGAGGAAGCACAACAAAGATAACAACGAAGAGGAGCGCAAAAGCACGGGAATTCCACCAGTGAATTCCAAACCATTCTTGCAACACGCCCAAGTGCATTGATCCATCATGCACATTCCCTGACAGTACATCCCCTGACAAAAAAAAGGCAGTTAAATTTCAAGAACTGATTGAAGGACTGTTCATTCTTCAAATTCAAGTGCAGAAAGCCTAATTAACAGGGTTGATAAACAAACCCCCCAGTCCCTAATTAAAAAAGACAAAAAATCCTACAACCAAGTTCCTTGCACGCACGCACATACACTTACCAATGATAATCAAATAAACGATCAAGCACCCAAGATTAGTGATCATGACACATATTTGTACAGTCACAGATCCTACCCTCCCAAAAGCCTCCCTCATGACACCAGCATATGTTGTCGACTCCCCAGAGAGTGTATACCTCAACAAGAACTCCACAGAAATATCAACAAGCCATGCAATAATCATAATCAACACTAAGGCAGGTATTACACCTAGCACCTTAAGTGTGGCAGGTATTGACATAATTCCTGCACCTATTATACTAGTTGACACGTTGAACACTGCTCCGTGTACCGATGCACGCTTCTCCCCCTGCTTCCTTTCCGGCAGAAGCGGAGCATGTATTCCAGTGGCAGGCGACATTCCGGGAGGGAATTTACCGGCTAGAAGGATGTTTTTGGAATAAGTTGTCTTGTTGTTCATAATTAAGTTTACAACGTGAGTATTAAAGGCAAGCTGTGCATAATGGTGATGGTTAAATGACCAAAGTGGCGTTGATAGAGATGGAATATGTTTGGTTAGAGTTGGTTAAGATAAGGGTAAGATTGGGATGTGACATGGACCATGGCGGAGGAATGTGGGGTCATATGATTGGGAGAATGATGAATGTGGACCCAAAACGTATCAAGGTTTGAGTGAATCTGGACCTAAAGACAGGTCATGTGCTTTGGTCCTATGATACTGTTCTTAGGTCACAACTCTTGCCTGGCATGCTAAGCTGATAATACCATGATACTTTCTCGGGTGCAAAGACTAGTCAACGAGATTGTCTGAGCTTCTCTGTTTGTTTGTCGAATCCCAAATCAAAACATTTTTTAAAATTAAATTAAATGACAATCTGCTTGAAACCGAGAATGTCTATATTATGTCTTCATGAATGCAATCCAACGTGTTAGAATATATATATATAAAAAAAAAACTACAACCCATTGGATTATGGATCTGAATTTCACTAAAAAAAAAAAAAAACTACAACCCGTTGGATTATGGATCTGAATTTCACTAAAAAATTTAAATATTATTTAATTTAATTTTAAATAATAAAATCATTAAAACATACTAATAAAAAGACTTTCAATAAAAAAGAAGCGGCAAAAAATAGGCTTGAAATCCAATAGGACAAACCAAATAAAGATAAAATTATTTTAAAAAAACAAAAAAAATGATTAGGATTGAATTTAACATAAAGAAATAAAATTGAAAAAAATAAAAAACCATGTGGAAGATTAAAAGAATTAGGATTAGATCTAACATAAAAATTAAATAAAATTAAATATTGAGGGAAGAAATTATAAAAAATCAATCCATCAACAAAATGATTTAAAAACCAACTAAAAATAATGATCAAATTTAACATGAAAAATAAATTAAAAAAAAATTAAAAAAAAAACAATTAAGAGGCTAGTTTGATGTTTTGCATAGCCTATACACAAATCCAAAAAAAAAAAATCATTTTCTCCCAAACTGTGTTGAATCATCGTACATGTGTCATCGAAAAAGAAAAAAATGTCGAGATGAATGCAACGATAGAGTGAAAGGGACGGTACAACAATTAAAGTTAGCTACATGTGACATACGAAGTTAGAA